ACAAATTATTGTAAAAAGGCACTTTATTTTATGAACTCATTCTAAAATACAGTTTACCAGTGATACTAAAGTGTGAGCACTGCTCATAAGATTGTTATGTAATGTAACATACAGTTGCTTATATAGTCAAATATTTGGCAATGTTTATACATTAAGTTATTTTTAAGAATTTAATGTGAAGTCTAATATAAATCAACCAAGTACAAAAGTGACAAAATTACTATTTATAATGTGTAAACATAGACAAAATGATAGCTACAATTATTAATAATTTTGATTTATTTTATAAATGGCAATAAAAGTATTCAAATTGACATAGACACTCATTAATTATGGGGACTGTTTTACACTAATGACAGCATATTAATTGCCTGTCATATTTAGTTAGCTTACAATATTATGTAACACTTGCATTATATTTATTAGTTCAATTTTAGTAATTAAATTTATTAATGTTTAGTATAATGCATTAAAATAAATGAAAATCATAACTATTTACTGATTTAAATGTTTAATATAATTTTTAATTTAAAAATATTTAAAAATTTTCAAACCCCTAAAGGCCGACGTATACCACGCCTACCAAGTGGTTCGCAAACACGGAATACCCGACGAAAACATAATTGTCATGCATTACGACGATATCGCTCACCATAAGAGTAACCCCACACCCGGTGTAGTCATCAATCGAGTTAACGGTACGGATGTCTACAAAACCCCGTATGAAGTGCCCAAACACTACATCGGCAAAGATGTCACCCCAAAGGTACTGTTTCAAATTAATTTTTATATCAAAATGTTTTAATATTTTTAAATCTACCGTATTTATAAATACAGAACTTTTTGGGAGCTATTGCTGGAGACGAGACCTTAGAAAAATCGGGCAAAAAGGTTGTCAAGAGTGGACCCAATGATCGTATTTTTGTCTATTTAGATGACCATGGTGGTGATGGTATGTTAATAATTGATTTTTACTATTATTAAAATTTTATCATTTTAATTTTAAAATATTGCAGAGGTGGTTGCTTTTCCCTCGGGTGCACCCATGTTGTACGCTAAGGATCTTAATAATGCCTTGATCGAAATGCACAAACAAAATAAATTTGCCCAGCTCGTATTTTATTTGGCTGCATGTGAATCAGGTACTATAACTATATTTTATATATTGTTTATTTTTTAATAAAATTAATTATTTTAATAGGATCTATGTTTGCTAAATTATTGCCAACTGATATCAATGTGTACGCTATTACTGCCACCAAGGTGGGTGAATTAGGGTGGAAAGCTGAAAGTGAATGGAAAACATATAACACTTGGCTAGGTGAGTTTCGTAAAGGATTATTCACTAAATTTGTATCAGGGTTACTCACTACAATATGTTATTTATTATAGCTACCTACTTTACTATCATATGGCTGGATGACAGTGAAAAAAGTGATCTTACCAAGGAGCTAATTTCCACGCAATATGATTATATTAAAGAACACAACAATTTCACCATGGACGGTACTAAACACTCCCAACATGCTCAGCAGTATGGTGATTTAAGTATTGCTGCTAAACAACACGTATCTGATTACCAAGGTATATACTTTATTTAAGGTTTTGCTAAAAATAAGATTTTAAACATAATTAATTTTATTAACTAGGTGACAAAAAGGTCCCGATCAATTCCGACTCAGAATTGTATATACCTAGTGGTTTCGCCCCCATAAGGGACTCTAAATTATTTCACCTGAAACATTTAATTAAAAACACAAATGATGCTGCTGAATTGTCTCAGTAGGTTTTGAGTTAATTTTTTATGATTGTAAACAAGGTTATTTAATTAACTGCTTTTTTGTGAACAAATAGATATGTCTCGCAATTGAACGCATTGGAAAACAACAGACAATTGTTGGACAAACAGATCGAGGAATACGTGAATAAATTGCCGGCAATTGACGCCAATATTGCATTGAATGGCAAACTAGAGCTCAATAATAGGGACTGTTATAAGAAACTTGTGGACACTTTCAATGAGAAGTGCTATGCATTCAATGACGTAAGTATTTGTTTATTATCAAGTTAAGTATAGTTTTTAATATAGTATTAAATTATTATTATTTTATTGCAGAATACATACGCTTTCTATAAGTTAAGTGTTTTCCGCAATATTTGCGAACAAATGCGTGACTCGAGTGATGCGGACATTGCTGTCAACCGATTGATACAACACTGCAATGGAAATGCGAAACCAATTGATAATATTGTCTAATAATTAGATACCATGTATTAAATTGAAAATTAAAATTGTTAAATGAACTAATAATTTGCACAAAATAGATATATTCTATATTGTTTAAAATATAATTATAATAAATTAAAAAAAATAACATTCAAAATAAATTATATCTAACGTATAATATCTAAATTATTACTTTACAATTAAAGCGTGAAATATTTCATTTAGATATTCATATTATTTTTGGTAAAATCTAAAATATCCTTTCTAATATTATCAATTTAGAAAAATCAGTTAGTTTGAGATTAAATATAATAAAAATTGAAATCACTCATAAAAATAGTATTTTATTATTTTATCTAGATACACAAAAGGTTGCCTACTTTTACAATTGGTAATTTTATAAATTGAGTGCACTTTTTATTTATGTATACAGATACTTTCTGTAATTGCACAAGTATAGTTACAATTAATAGTCACTATTTCGTATCTACACACAAAAAAAGTAACACAGTTACAAATTATACAAGGTTGGCTGACACTGGTTTACAGGGTTGGGTCCAACTTTTTAAGCAGTGGTTCCATAGTCTGCTGCCACACCTCATACCCCTTAGTACTGAGATGTAGTCTGTCCTTAGGATTATCATAGAGCTCTGTATGCATTACACCGTCAGTCTCGTAGGCTGACCACATGTCCAGGAAGAAGACATTCTTATCGTTATTCAACTTCTTGATCATCTCGTTGACCTGTTTCACTTTGTCGTGCAACGAGTCTCTGGGCAATATGCCCAACAGAATGACCTTGGTGTTCGGCATTTTGCTCAACAATTCAGTTACAGTTTCGTTAACGCCGTGCGCGATGTCCTCCGCCGTATTGGGGGCCGCGTTGTTAGTGCCTTTCGTTTAACAATTTATTTTTATAAATAACGTATGTTTTAAACTTATATAAAACTACTATTATATTACTAAATGAGTCTTTCAACTATTCTTTCATTATCACGGTATTAGCACTAAATATTAGCCAACAGTTATAATGAATGAAAAGTGGAAAGACCCATTTAGTATTATAATAGCAGATATTATATAGTATATTTACCGTTGCATGCAAAACCGATGTAAGTGTTAAAGTATATTCAGACTGTACATAAATCATAAGATTTAAATTACTACAATACACTATACACTATTTATGCCTTGTGTACAGTTTGAATACAGTAAACACTTACGTCGGTCTTGCATGAAAAGGTCCACATGTCTCGCAAACCTATCATAACGACCGTGACTTTGGGGTCGAGTCCATCGAACTCCTGGTGTTGAATCCGGTAGATGACGGCCTCAGTCCGGTCACCGCCGATGCCATAATTAAACGCGTGTCGGGGCGCGTAGTACTTGGCCCAGACAGCCTTTCCATTGCCGGCCCATAGCTCGGTGATTGAATCGCCGACAAATACGATCTCCACTTCGGCCTTATGGTCACGGGTTTGGTTAACCATAGCCTCGTGTTTCTTAAGCCAAACGGCACCGCCATCCCCGGGCTGCGGGTCCCAGGGATGGTGTTGGGCTGATATACCCAATACGCAAACCGACGCTACTATTAATGATAACATTATTGTGTGATTAGTTTTACAGTTTTTTGTTTTGGAAACTTGTATTTGCTTTAAATAGTGGGAAATTTTCAGCTTATTATACAATACTTGTTACGAAATATGGATTAATTAAAGGATATTAAATACCAGTTAATACTCTTATCATTGTATTGTTCATAGAATACATGATAGTATGGATTTGATTAGGCGGCGTTCACAATGAACGTACGTGGGGAGGGGTAAATGCAAACTAGTATGTCGCTATATTAATTTCTTATTTACGATCGACGTGTATAGGGGAAGGGATATTTTAGGTCAATTTATACGCACACACTTTGTGAAGCCCGCCAGATAGATAAATGTCTTAATTTATGAGAAATCAAAGTACAAATTGATGTAGGGTGTTTAATCAATTAAAAGAAAATTATAGAGATAATACAATACTGTATAATACATTGAATATAATTTTTTTTAAAAATATGGTACAATATAATAGATTAAACTTTGCTTGTTCCTTAAATGATATTTAATATTGTATCTAATTCATTAAATAAATTTATTTTATTTTTATTAAGTATAATTACATTAAATTAAAAATAAAGTTGTTCAAAATTTATCATATTTTATGTGTAATTTTTTTTGTTAAAATAGCATTCAGTCAGCCCTGTACAATTAATGCGTGAATTATTGGATATAATATTCTAACAAAATAATTGCTCAAAAATAATCTGACAAGTATATTTTTGCTTTACTACTAACTTTAAAACATTTTTAAATATTCATATTACATTTTTAAAAAATTAAAATGTCAATTCTCATATTATCACATACAACTGATATGAGCCAGTGGAAAGTAAAAAGGCCTCTAAAGTTTTATACACTTATATTTATTTTTGTGCTTGAGTCTATTTGTGAGTTTTCCCATTACACGTTGCTTACTAATTATTCGTATGAATATTAGGCACATTAAAAAATATTTAGAGGCCTTTTTACTTTCCACTGGCTCATATTATGTATACTGTATTAAAATAAATATATTGTGCAATATTTTAAAATTATCTTGATGTGTTAAATAGTTAATTTTCTTCCAAACAAGGTCACTTTATATTTAGATTTATTTTGATAAATATTTAATTTTATTTACTAAAAAATACTTTATTGTAAAATTGTAAATTATTAATTTCAAAAAATATTTTTAAATATAATTTTAAACATTATTCTAATTTAAATAACCAGTAGCAACAACAATAAATAATTAATAATAATATAAATATTATTCAAATAATTGTTTAAAAAATATATAATTATTTATAAACATACAATCAACTCATAGATAAATTCAACCATAAATCATATATTTTTAAGCAATATATTAAACAAAAAAGCAAATTTTAAAAATTTATATCAATATGTTGACCTTGTTAATAATAGCAGACTTTGTTTCTCATATATAATTACAAGATTTCTTAAGTTATTACATTTTTAAATGAAAATGATTGCAAGTTATTTTGAAATTTCTGATTCATTAGTACCTGTGCTCGAGCACCTCCTATTGTTTCAAATTGAACTTATTATCACTGTGCGATTAATCACAAATGAACATTGATACTTTAAACCTTTTTAGTCAATATCTTATTCTCCGTTAATTATTATATGATTAATTGCTAAGTATTAATGACTACCTGGATTAATTACAATGGACTTTGCCGCATGAATCATTTAAAACAATGGAAATGAAAAATTAAATCTGGTATAAATAGCGCTTGATAACTTTTGAAATTACTATTAATTAAATAAAACAAAATAATGAAATTAATTTCAGTTTTCAGTTTGTTTTTCATAGCCGTAAATGGTGTCCCATTTATTGACAAATTACGTGAACCCCATGGGGGTAAGACCTGGGTAGTTTTATGTGCTAGTGGATCTGGATGGGAAAACTATGGAATGGAGGTATGAGTGACCTATCACAATTTTAGCATCTCTCTCTCTCTAACATAAATTAACTCATATTAGGCGGACGTATACCACGCCTACCAAGTGGTCCGCAAACACGGAATACCGGCCGAAAACATAATAGTCATGGCCTTTGACTTCATCGCCCACAGCGACCTTAACCCGACACCCGGTGTGGTCATCAACCGTATCAATGGCACCGATGTCTACAAAACCCCGTATGAAGTGCCCATAAATTATAAAGAATTTGATGTCACCCCGGAGGTTTTACATTATTTTTAAAACTTTTATTTGAAAAATAATGTGTACAATTTTTGTAAATATTGTTTGTTTGTAGCAATTTTTGGGTCTTATTAGTGGAAACGAGACGTTAGAGAAAGCGGGCAAAAAGGTAGTCAAGAGTGGACCCAACGATCGTATATTTGTGTTCTTAGATGGCCATGGTGGTGATGGTATGTTTTAATATATTATAATATATGCTTATAAAATTATATACAAATTATAAATTTATATAAAATATTTTTATAATATAGAGGTTGTTGAATTCCCCAGGGACATGTTATATGCTAAAGACTTGAATAATGTGCTCATTGAAATGCATAAACAAAATAAATTTGCCCAGCTAGTATTTTATTTGACAGCGTGTGAATCAGGTAATTTATAAATTTAAAATTAGTTTTTCTATTATTAATGTATAATTTATAAATATTTTGTATCAGGCTCTGTTTTTGCTAAATTATTGCCAAACGATATTAACGTATACGCGGTTACTGCCACTGCGCCTGGTGAATTAGGCTGGAAGGCTGAGCATGATCACGGAAAATATGATACCTGGCTAGGTGAGCTAGTTCAGTTTTAAATTTAAAAATATTAAAAATATTGATGTTTAAAATGTGTGTTAAATTTATTAAATCTTAGCTACATATTTTCCCACTCAATGGCTATATGATACCGAGCATAATGATTTAACCAATGAACCTTTATCAACACAATACAAGTATATTAAGGAGCACAATAATTTCACCATGGACGGTATACAACATTTTCAGCATGCTCAACAGTATGGAAATTTAAGTATCGGAAATATTCAACATGTATCTGATTATCTGGGTAAGATATTTTAAGTTCATTCTGGATTCAATAATCTAGTAGATGCAATAATAAAGATTTTTTAAATTTTTGTTTAAATGAAACACTTTATTTTACTAGATCACAAAATAATTTTGTATATTATCTATATTATTATAACTAGGTGACAAAAAAATCCCGGTATACTCTGAAAATGAATTATATACGCCTGATGGTTTTGCCCCCATAAGAGATTCTAAATTATACCACCTAAAACATTTAATTAAAAATACAAATGATGCTGAACAAGTTTCTCAGTAAGTGTCATTGTAACATTTATTTTATAATTAATAGATTAAGAGCTTTACATAATTTTCTATTAAATTTATAGATATGTCACAGAATTGGAGGGTTTGTTAAGCCGTCGGAAACTAATGGATAAACAGATCGAGGAATACGTGAATGAATTGCCGGCAATTGACGCCAATATCGCATTGAATGGCAAACTAGAGCTCAATAACAGAGACTGTTATAAGAAACTGGTCGACACTTTCAATGAAAGGTGTTATTTGTTTAGTAAAGTTAGTATAAAATTAAATATAATATAAATTAAAATAAGTTATAAAATGTTATTTTATTGAATCCCAGAATTCCTACGCTTTCTATAAGTTAAGTGTTTTCCGCAATATTTGCGAACAAATGCGTGACTCGAGTGATGCGGACATTGCTGTCAACCGATTGATACAACACTGCAATGCAAATGCAAAACCAATTGATAGTATTGTATAATAATTAGATAACATGTATTAAATTTCAGTTTATAATTATCAAATAAATAAATAATTTGAAAAGAAAAACTATATATATAATATACATATATTTATTTATTAATTATAATTATAATAATTAACAACTAAAGTGTAACGAATAATTTTTAAAAATGTTAGATTATACATTACTAAAAATTGTTATAGCAAATTATGCTAGATGATATTTGTTTGTTAATACAAATATAATCAAACACAAAATACAAATATTAATAAAGTGAAATTCTTTACTAGCTACGTGATTTTAAAAATTTCTAAATAATTGATGCTTGCACAAAATATGGTTAAACATATAGAATAGTATTCAATAAAAATAATTATACTACGGTTGCTTATAGGTGAATCATTTTCCCGTTTTCGTAAAAATATGTATAAAAATTTTAATTAAGATCACATACCGTTAAATAGTGCCAGTTAAGATATCGCTGGCTCAAGGGAACATAATTCTCTATCGGCCACTAATCTAAGAGTTAAATTAATTATGGCATTTGTATGATGTTGTAACCCCGACTCGACTATTTGCTTATATCTACATGGTGAAATATAAGTAAATATCTATTAAATTAATCATATTTAAATAATGTGTCAAAATAATCACAATGTCTCATTTATACTGTACTTACAAAAACATTAATTGCGAATAATATTTGTGCCCATTTTTGACCATATAAAATAAATAATCAAAAAAATATTTATGTTCACTAATAGCATAATGATACTTTAAGTGTTTATACTGACCGTCAAAATGCGATGTAAGCCCACTATCGGATAATATAGCTAACTTTTCGTGTGCTAATAATATAAAATAACCTAGCTCATAAATATTATATATCCCAATCGTACGATTAAGAAGTTTTTCTAAATATTTATGCCTTTCAACGAGCTCAATTAATATTGAGTTATATTCCTGGTTATTTGCCGTTTTAGTAAAGCGCTCATAAATTAGTGGATCAAAAATACATGGATGTTTTTATTATCGATTATATCTTGCAATGTGTTAACTATTGGCACATATTTCCTGTTAAAATACGTGTTTAGTAGATACCCGGCAAATGATTGTGTTATGACTAATGCACTCAATATCCAGATATAGACTACCATTTGATTATACATTGGATTCGGTGCTGAGATTCTGTTCATCATATTTGACGATTGATTCACAAATAATTTTATTAACATCCAGTTTGTGGCGATTAATGAAAATTTATATTTAAGCACATATTTAATGTAGCATGATATAATTACCGAGAAAATTATTATATTCATCCATATCTATTAAATTAAATTGGTCAGTTAGTTGCCACAATACCGATACAATTGTTTAGTAAAAATTTGTTTATTTGTACCTGATAATCAAATAGTTTAATGAATGAAAAATATGAATTATCTTTCTGTAACCTCAATCCGCTTATTATTTCAATCATATAATTGCTATTAACCGGTACACCGGAACAATTAAGTTTTAATATCCTAGATGGGTACGGGCGTATGTAGGTAATCTGCGCAATCAATCATTTGAAAATTAGCAAGTTAATTAAAATTAAATTTTAAAATCGTACTTGCGCATTCCGATCGTTATCTATTGTATACATCATTAGATTTAATTTACATGTTATGTGTTGGATGATCGTTAAAAGCACGCTAAATGCAAATCCCTAAAAATAAATGTAATCTTTATTAATTACGCCTATTCTGCAAAATATATTTCAAATACAAAACAAATAAGTAAACTGAAAGAAATTAACATTATTTATTTTATGGCTGACCAACTCTACAGTATTTTAATGCACTGCCACTACAAGATTTAACATGGTGACACATTTTGGCACCACCACTCTCTCTCTCTCTCTCTCTCTCTCTCTCTCTCGTAAGAATGAGTACATACTTTGAGAATGACCCTTATACAATTATTAAATTGTGATACATTTAAGATTAAAAAACTATGGGGTTTGTTACAAGTATATTTATTTCGATTCAACTCTCAATGAAAATTATTTATTAGTAAATATATTTTATAAATATATCTATAATCTATAAAATACTGTCATCTAAATTATAATATAGTAACGTACCTGATACCACACCATAATTGTGTCCATATTAGTTTGATTGAAGTGGATATTATCAGGTGTATTGCAATAATATGTTTGGTTGACTTTGATAAGTTTGACAGGTATATTTGAATACACATATAGAAGTTGTGAATTTATATCAATAAACATATTTAATTAATATTATAAAGTAAAATTATGTTGAATTTTATTAAATTTTTGTATTAATAAGTAAAAATTGATAAATCAAATGAATTAAGTTATATTTATTTTGCTATGATAAAAATTAAAATATTAACATAAATTATGCTAAAAATATTTAAAACAAATTTAAAAATTTTTATATCTACCAAAATAAATTCACAAAATATAAGCTTAACTTTAAAATTTTAATATACTCGTAAGTATAGATATATAATGCTATAAGGTCTATAAGTATATAATGCTTCGCATATCTATAAATAACAAAAATTTAATAAAAAAATTTATTATCAATATTTTGTTATCTAAAACATGAAATACATTCAATTATTAGTTTATTGTTTATTTTTGGGGTTAAACTATATTTACAAAGTTAAATTAAATTCTAGTTAAGAAGATTTATTATATTTTATATTAAAATTTTCATTTATTTTATAAAAAAATATTAATAAATGTAGTTGTACGCCTATTGTATAAACAAAATCTATAATTTATTAATTTTATCAAATATCATTAATTTCATATATTAATACTTACACAATATTTTGCATAACAAATAGTTTTTTATAATTAATTAATTTTCTATTAATTCTATAAATATGTCAGAGAATTGGAGGGTTTGTTAAGTCGTCGGAAACTAATGGATAAACAGATCGAGGAATACGTGAATGAATTGCCGGCAATTGACGCCAATATCGCATTGAATGGCAAACTAGAGCTCAATAATAGAGACTGCTATAAGAAACTGGTCGACACTTTCAATGAGAAGTGCTATTTGTTTAGCAAAGTAAGTATAAAATTAAATATAATATAAATTAAAATAAGTTATAAAATATTATTTTATTGAAACCCAGAATTC